ACTGCAAATACATTTCTTGAGTGGTCTGATCCTGTCCTTGCATGTTAAGGTCACTGTTGTGCACTGGAGTGTGAGCAGTCTGATCTAGTGGTTAGACACCCAAAGCACAGATGAAGTCCAGATCAGTTCCTAGGGAGCTGAGCATCCAGAGAGATCTGGTATCATAACTAGATTCAGAAGCTATAGCCAAAGGCAGGACAGCCTAGGGTCAGAAGCCAAAACCAGAGACAGAATACACCACAGGTTAACTGGGGTTAGGAGCTAAAAGCCAGAGCTGAAGGCCAACCTAGAATCAAGAGCAGAGAACTGGAATTGGGGAATGCCAAGAGTATCACCAGGATCAGAACCCAAAGTCAGAGTAAGGAGCTAAGACATTCCACTCTACCCTAATTCTGGCTCCCCATAGAGCTGAAGTAGGATCTTGGTCATTTGCTGCACAGGCCTGGGCAATTCTGCACACATGTAGACCTGCTAATGTCTAGGGAATCTTCAGGCTGAACAGGGAGACACCTAATGCTTTTTAGAGGTGTCCAGGATTAGGTGGCTACTGAATGGGGATTTGGGGATTACAATGCAATCTTGCTTTAGGTTCCTAAATCCTTTTGATTTGGGCAGCACTTTTTATTTAATTTTATTTTAATCTAACCCATGGTAACCTAACTTTATGTATCCAAGTATGAAAGTTTTTGCCTGAAGCTCTCTGTGATTCAGTTTCCCTCTCTCTCAGAGGAGATAATGCTGCTTCTTCATTTCTGTGAAGTGTTTGGGATTTATGGATGAAAAATTCTAAAAGAGCTAAGTAGTATTTCTATTTCTGTCTTGGAATCTGTTGAACAAGCAAGTGAGAGTTGAGACCCCAGCTGCTGTGAATTGGGACAATTTTATTGAGGTCTGTGTAGCTGGGCCAATTTACACAGGCTGAAGATCTCACCCATAATCTGATTGTTCAACAAACTGTCTTTTGGATAGGATGTAAAACTGATCCTGACTGCTGGGAGTCATTAAAGATTCTGTGACAGTCTTGCAAAAATAACTGTTAGTTTTGCTGCTCTGATCAAATTCCAATTTGGATAAATGCAGTGTACCTATCTAAAAATACCTGCTGTTTTAGTTACACTCCCTACCTCAAATATATGCAGGCATTTGGGGCCTAATCTTCTTCTACTGATGTGCAGCATTAAATAGTTGCCATGTTCCAAGGTGACGCTGGCTCAAATGATTCATTGGCTTCAGTGGGCTTTGAATGAGATTTATGGGTGCATATGCCAAGACTCTGTCGGTCCTGGCATGACGGAGTACAACTTCAGTATTCCACTTTGCCTACGGATGGTCAATAATCTACCTGTTAGTAGTTAATAGTTCTATCCATATACAGGCAAAGTTAAACATTAAAAGGAGGTATCTTAGAAGGTAATTAAACCTTGAAGTGCCTGATCTTGCAGCCTTTGTTCAGGTGAGCAATCCGACTGGAACAGCATGATAATTTATCTGTGTAGGCTGCAGGATTTGGTACATAGCTTACAAAATGATTTGAGATGTGACATGATGAGAGGTGTTGTACTGAATGTCAGCCTAGTAACTGCTTGCATTTGATATGTGGAGAGCCAGAGTACCAAATACTATTCCTATAGCCACATTGCATTACCTTGCATTGGGGAGACAAAGTAATGGTGAAATGATCATATCTAGCATAGTAAGCAACAGTCACAGCACACCAATGTTTTGTGAGCATCACAGCCAGGGTGGCCATCATAGAGGACATTCTGGTTTTCTGCTACTCTGTTCTCTAGTGATATGAAACCCAACACCTTTATGTCCTCTACTTTTTTCTTCAAGAGAAAAATAGAGGACATAAAGGCATCAGGTTTCGTATCAACAGAGGCCAGAGGACAACCGGACTGTCCTCTATGATGGCCACCCTAATTACAGCAGTTACATTTTAAAGAGGGAATGCAAAGAGAGTTTGTACGCAGTTCTTGTCCCAATCATACTGGATAGCACGAGAGTGAGCCTGCTAGCGCTGGCCGGTGGTGCACAATGGCATTAATGGTAGAAAGGGCTGAAGCAAAAGAGACAAAAACATCAGGCTTAGACAACTTACTAAGGTAATCAAGAAAGACATGTTTGACTTAACTTCACTGATCTTAGGTTTAACTTCACAGACTGAATCCATCTCTGTACATTGGAGCCATGCACTTGTGAACCGTGGATCAATAGCTCAAGCCACTGTTTTTTATGTGAAGGGTTTCTTCAGTAAACCAAGTCATGCAGGAAATCTTTGTAGCTCATTTCAATTAACTGTAGTGTGATGCATGGATATAAATGCACAGTCAGATGTTTGTGTAAAGCCAAGTATCTCACTGTTGCATATATTAGTTGTAAAAAGAACACCAGCCTCAGGGAAACCTGACCTTCAGATACACAATGGAAAACAACTTTTAATGTATGTAATTTTAAGATCTTAATGAAGCGGACATTGTTTTTAATCTTCATTTATACAGACCTACATTTCAGGCATTCCTCCAGGCCCACAGCCAGGGTATTTGGTTCTCAATTGTTATTTAAAAGACATTTTCACTTTATCTTTTGCTGGATGCTGCTAGACTAGATTGTTATTGTTTTCCCTCAAAATTGAATGTTTTCTTACACTTCTAGTGCCATTAAGCTTAGTGCCTGAAACTCTTTTTCAAACGTCTCTGGATGTCTCTTTTTGAAGAATACGAAAACACCATGGACTAATTATCCATCCTAAATGCTCAGTTTATGTTTGTGCAACACATTCTAATTGATGATCTGTAATTCCCATCCAGAGGAAGCTGATAATGACCTTGTGCAGGTTGCTGAGTTGGATGACATGGTTCATTAGCACATCCTGGATGCCCTGGGCATACCTCCCACACCAGCACTCCAGCCAGGGACTTGCCCATGCCAAAGTGGTTGGCAATGAAGTAGAGTCTGTTGGAGTTTGTGAGTGTCAAGATGCTGATGGCAATGCACTTCACTGGAGTCAGCAGTCGTCTTATGCATATGTCCTCCTACCCTATGTACCGGATCAGTCTGGTGACGATGTCCACGCAGGTAGCCTGGCACATGCAGACATTCTGCAACCGCTGGTCATCACCCAAGGTGTGCATATGATCCACTCTTACCAATCACTGCTGATCTCACAGGCCCTGAAGTATCGTTTGACACCAGAGAGGTGATCCCAGAGCACCCAGAACTGCACGATGTCCAGCAGGGCCTCATCTTTGTTGGCCAGGTAGAAGTCATCAGCAGTATCCAGGAGGCTTCGTGCTCATAGGATCTGGGAAGTGGCCCCATGTGGAAAGTCAGGCTTCTAAGTCCTGTGCAGGAGGAAATGACCCTAAGTCTCTGGTGAGATGCATGCAGGGTGACAGTGAAGTAGAGGCCCAGCTCTTGGGTCCATCAGCTCCTGCAAGAGGGGTACAGATTCATGGTGGGGTGCAGGAACAGAAACTGATGTGCAAACATGCTCTGAATCTCTGCTCTGGAAGTCTCCACGCAGGGAGGGAGGAGTTATTGTGACTGGGAGCTCCTAGGTGTAAGGGGAGGCAGTGTGGTCCTTTGCAGCAGAGTGTGCAGCTAGTCAGCTGCACACTCTGCTGCTCTCAGCAGTCTCTGGCAACCAGGGAAGACTTTAGATTTTTCCTTCTTAAATATTGTTATTTTTAAGCCAACTTCATAATGTTGGAGGCCTGACTCACAATACATGAATGGCTGGGGGTTGGCAATATGGTAAAAGTGTCTACTCTCTATCATTTCTCCATCTGTATATGCTGCTGGAGTTTGAGATACCTTCAGAAGCTACAAGGATTCTGTTTCTTTCTAATTTGTAAACAAAGAAAACAAAGCAAAGCGGATGATGCAACTGCTGTGTAATTGCACTTCTCTGACCGTATCTGAAATACTAGGTCTTCAGTATTAATCGGTATTTTACAAGAAGCATATTATTGCTATAAAGGGCAGTTAATTTTTGACACAGGTCTATCCACTGACTCTAAAGGTCTTAAGCTTGCTATGATAAAGGTGGGTGCCAACATGATGCTTCAGGTTACTTTAAAAAAACCAAATCTCATAAATAACACATAACAAACTATGTTAAAAGAACATTAAGATTTCAATATCAGCAGCAATTTTAATTAAGGCTGGATGTGCATATGTATTACAATACAGTCTTTAATGACAGGATCACAGACATAATCATCCTTTTCTGTGAGACCCTGCCGCATTCAGTGAAAAGGATGTATGTTATTCAGTAATCACTCAGAGCCAAATACAGCTTGATTTTGTTCACTGTCTAACTAAGCAGCATTGCTTAATATGAACTTCTGCATAAAACTACAAACAGTTCTAACTGGTTTGTGTCAGCATTTCTCAATAGAAAAATTCAAGACGTGTCAGGAGCAGGGCTCAGATTCACAACTCTGGAACCATATGAAGGCACATTACCCCCTCTGCCACAACACCTCGCAATGGACCCCAGAATTAGTATATAATTTTGACCTAAGCCTTTCTGAGTCAATCCATAAAGAAGGAATAACATTTCTCTATCTCATAAGGTGTTATGAATGTTTCTAAGATATTTAGATACCGTAGCAGTGAGAACTATAGCAAAAGCTCATCAGGAAATGATGTGTTCAGAGCAGGGGTTGAAGAGTCTCCAGTAGGTAAGGCATGGAGGCGTACATGTACAAACAAGGTAAAGCATAATACTGGATAGTTCGGTAAGTATTATCCATTTTGTGCACTGAAAAAGACAGGAGCCCTGTGTGACAGAAAAATATCAGCAACATAGTTATTTTTGTAACCAAATCTAACAACTGCCACCATCAGCTATGGTTTGGTTTTTATGGTTTTCTTGATATGGACATAGTGTTTGATTGGAAGACCAATGCAGTATGAAGTACATTTAGCAAGAAATGTAACAACATAGTTGATTATAACATTTTCACCATAATGTATATGATATGGTGAAATACCATTCTTCTGGCAAATTTACAAAATTATGTTGATCGATTCCTTGTACCAAGCAGTACAGCTTGGTCTCACAGGTTACAATCAAATCATGGCAGCAGCCTGTCAGGAAGAAAAGCATTAAATGGTTAAAATAAAGAGCAGATAACATATGCTTGGGGATTCCCATCACTATCACCACTTAAAAGCCTACTTAGCATAATAAATGTGAATCTCAGTGTCTGTTTACCCCCCCTGAGAATACTGAGTTACTAGCTGCTTAATTACTATTCAATATTCAGAATCTTAAAAGAAATAGACCTTTCTTTACTATGATATACTGCCCTGAACTCCATAAAATTGAACTGCAATTTACCTGAGAAAAAAAAAGCAATGGTAAATTGGATTGGAATTGTTTGATCTATACACTATAAAGACATAGTTCAGATGATCATGAATAAAAAGGTACTGTTTGTCACAATACTGAATGATAGCATCTGAGTAAAGTAGATTACAGAATACCTTTGTGAATTATTATGCTTTAGGGGCATAGGTGCTGAGTGACTCCAAAACTTGTTGAAAGTAATTTATAATTAGTTTACTCATGACATTGTAGGAAGCTTTTTACACCTTGCACAATCAAGCACATGAATCAAAACTGTAAACTCCCTAACTTAAAGAATATTTTTCATCTTTTACTCCATTTGCCTAATACTCAGACCAATTGGACCCTGCTCTTGAGTGCAGCCTCCATATGAAACTGGTAATACAAATAATTAATAATAAAACAATATAGATTTACATACAATTGGAACAAAAATATTAAACATTTAGAAGGCAGGCAACTGAATTATTTACAAGGCATTTTCAAATGGAGGAAGCAGTTTTCCAAAATTTGTCTCTAAGGAAATAGCAACATTGGTTGTGTGGTGTTCCAAATGCTGAGCACCCTAAAAAGCAAAAGATAAATGAACTTCACTGAAATAATTATTATTGCTGGTGTTACCATTATTATCATTACCATTATTATTATTATCATTGCTTGTATATTTTAATTACCATTCATTAATTTTATTTTGTTCGTTCTTAACTCAGTATGTTTGATAATCAAGTTATTTTTCATGTTAGAGTTCCAGATTTTTTAGGTAAAATGCAGTGTGAATGTGTGTGCAATAATTATGACTTACTAATATTCCAGAGTAGCCATCATAAGGCAGAACTGAGGCACAGTATGGCATTATAGATATAGGATTCAAGTAAAAGGTAGGATGTGGAGTCAGGTAATGTCTAACTTTGTATTTTATTCTGTTTTTTCATTTTTTTGTTTTAAAGAGGATTCACATGCATGCTACCTTTTAATTTTACTAGAGCATTTAGGGAATTAAATGATTTTGCTCATCAAGGCCTCCCTCAGTAGAGGGTTATAAATCTGCAAATCCAAACATTTCTTTAAGCGACTAGCAATGGAAGACCGATACCCTTTGGGGTGAGTATTAAGTAGGGATTATAATTAGGTGATCAAAGGTATTATGTGTGTTGCACTTATATGCATATGCTCTGGAGCGGTTGTCAGGCACTGTGAAACTTTTATCCATTTATCTCAGGAAACATATTTATCTGTCAGAAAATATCTTTGAAGGTATGACTGGCTTATACACCTTCCTAGATCACAGTATAGTTCTTTGCATACTAAAGAGCATCATGTGACTTGACCCAAGGCTGATAAGTATATAAACGGCATAGAATCCATGAGAGACATAAACATCACATTCATGTGTGCCATTAACAGATCCTTTTTAAAAATAAAATGTATGCATTAAAGTAAATGTGGTAAGATTCACAAGTAGGCAGGACTTTAGGTAGGATGCAGAAAATTTCTGGTTCGTGTCTGTACTCAGGCCTACTGAGCTCTGTAAGATAATAAAAATAGTTATGGTGATCTCCATTATAAGATAGAAGCAGGCTTATCTCAACCAGCCAATGAATATTGTACTAGAATCCTCATTGCTTCTCTCTCTTCATTTAAATGTATTCATCTCTGTCGTATCTAAGCATGAGGAAATATAAATATTCAGCCGCTCTTCCCTTCTGAGGCTCACTGTTGGTAGGGTATTTCTAAATCACTGTAATGAGCAATGCTTGGTATAAAGAAAAAAATGCTTGCATTGTCACTGCATCTTTTAATCTAAATAATTTTGTCACCTTCTTAATGTCACTTCAGAATGAATTTACATGTGTTTTTTATCACTAGAAGAAGCCAAGGGTGGGAAAACAGTTTGAAGTGTTTCCTCCTAAATAAAAGACTTGTAACTACTATTTTGCCAGGATTTAACTTCAGTCAGCTCTTTCTCATCTAAGCCAAAGCACTGGGATACTTATCTGGTTTAACGTAAATTGTGAATGGCTAAAAGTTGTATACCATCTTCATACCGCTGACATTTAAGTCCATAAAGTGCAATGGTTTCCCCTAATGGTTGCATGTAAGTAAGAAATGGAACCAGCTTGAAAGAGTAATTATATGATACTCCTTGATTGAATGCATTGGTGGCAAAGAATGGACAGATCATCTTTGTCAAATGAGAATGACCAGCCTTCCCAGATCCATAGAGATGTTGTGAGAAAAAATATATGGAAGACTGCAAGGCACTGAGATACTACAACAGGGGCGTATACCTAAGCAGGGGTGGGTCCAGGGAGGGTGCGGCAGTGTGAGTGCACTGTTTCCATTGCTGCTACCGACACTGTCCCCAGCTACTCCTGCCCTGCTCCAGCTGCGCAGTAAGCCAGGCTCAACCAGGGATAGCGAAGTGGTGACACCCGTTCCTGCTTTTCGCTAAAAAGAGGGATGCCTAAGGGGCAGCAGCAGGTCCCCATGCCCTTGTACGCCTCTTCTCTGCCCAGCTCCCTGCTCTACACCAGCCACACCTTGCCCCCATAGTCGGAGAGGTCAGCATGCCACACTCCCTTTAGTAAATCCTAGAACTGTCCACGTACCTAAGTATTTTAAGTAGATGGCAAGATTGTCTGTCATACCACCCGTTGGAGCAGATCTGGTATAACCACTGGGTTAGGGTCCTTCTCCCTCTTAAAAACTGAATTTTTACAAACCAGCTAGAGGCATATAGAGCCGCAGCGAATAGCCGTGCAGGGTCATCAACCGTTTGCTGCAGCACCATTTCTCCAGTCGCTGTAAGGACCACAGGAGCACGGTCATGTCTGCAATCCCTGTCCGCGGCTGGCGAGTTGCAGCGGGGTGAGGTGGTGCCCTCGGAACAAAGAGCCACTTTTATTTACTTTGCTTTAGCAAACAGCCGGGCAGCTAGCCCTCAAATATGGCAGGGGGACGACTGGTCACCCCGCTACAAGCCAGCTGGACTCTCCAGCTTTCCATTGCTGGGCCTGAAACCAGGTGCCACCTCGGCTTTGGACAGATTGCTCTGGAGTTGGCTTTTCCCACGTTCTCAATGAGTTTGCTAGAAAATGGGCAAGGTTTTGCCAGGCAGCGAGTTGTCTGGGGCAGCAACCCTCACCCCGAAGCTCAGTCAGACAAGGACGAGCACCCACCTGCCCTCGTCACAGCCTGAGGACGGGGAAGGAGTCACGACCGCGGCCTGTGCCCCTCCACAGAGCCGGGCGGGCTCCTCACCCCGCCCAGGCGGCCCAGGAAAGGGCCACCTCTGGGTCGTGGCTCTCTTTTCGCCTACAGAATGATACCGGAGCGGGTTTTCGGTGGCGAAGAAGGGCTCAGAGCGGCCCCCCAGCCAGGCGCCCCCGTCCCGCGCGAGGTTTGTGGGCCAGCCCGGCGCCCCGCGAGGGTCGTAGGCTCGAGGGGGAGGGCACCCTGGACGGAGCACCCCCGGCGCCGCAGGCGGGCGGCGTCCGGTA